ATCTTTGCCCAGCGATGTCGAACCTTTCGCCGATGATTCCTCTGTTGGAAAGAGAGAAAGACGCGGGGGAAGTAGGAAAAATCTTGGGAAAACAGTGGAAAGAAAACTACCGTTCGAACGATAGTAGAGGAAGAAGAGAGAGGGTGAAGAATGTGGAAAAAGAGGAGCGAGAAAGTGGAAGGGCAGAGAACCTTTCTCATTGTTTCGCTCTCGGCGAGATATCGGCCAAGTTTATGGTAGAAACTCGACCTATAAATTTTATCCTTTAATACGCCTCTGCTGCGTATAATACGAAACCGGCGCGCGAGTTATATCCTCTGGTACGGTTTTAAGGAATTCTTCTGCGAACGATACTTTTCGAGAGAACGTGTGCCTAGCTGGCCTAAGAATCCCTAGAATCTCCTGCTGTAAAACTTTCCGAACAACTCGGGAACTCTTGCTTAATCGTAAATTACGAGAAAGAATCCATCGAGAAACGTCACGGGTCACGCTTACGCTCAACCTCTTTATCAGAGATAGTTCGAAATGTGGAAAAATTCTTCGTGAAAGATATCAGGTGTAGAAATAAGTTCTTTCCGAAAGAATTTCGGTTTCATTGCATATGGTGGGACACGGAGGAAATCCTGCGTCACGAATTCCTTGATCCAGGAGAAACAGCGGCTGCACTCAACGTCAACTCTTGAATTTGAAAGACGCCATCGAAAGAAAAAAGCGATTATCTGGACAACGCGAGCGCAAATTGACACTGTTCCATACGTCTGCAGGGGCAAAATAGGCGATTTTCTCACTGGATTGGGTACTTTTACCGCACGCTCGCTACAACGTCACTTAGCAGACGTGCAATTCAAAACTCTCGAAGACGTTCGAGAAATGCCTAGACGAGCACATCGCGCCGAAGCCACCGAGTTTTCATCGCGACAGGATTCGTGACTTGCCAGAAAAGTGGCGAGAAGTCGTAGAAAACAACGGCGAATATTTCAACGATCAACTTCTCACATCTTCTTTTAACTAAAATTTTCACTTTACCAAAAAATCGCAAAGAACTGATTTCTATACGTAATGGAGAAAAAAAAGAAGAAGGGTTAAACGTGATATCGAACCGCGAACGCGCGGAATGAAATATCGCTGGCCTGAATTTTCGCCCTCGAATCCATCGGTACGAAGATGAGGTATGAAGTGGAAGACAGAGCGATGACCAGAGCCACGACGAGGGAAGAAGAAGGTAGATAGAGAGAGAACAGGTGGAGAGAGAATTAACGGGGACGTTTGCGCGGAATTTGCTGCACCGACGACCTTGCTGCTCTCTCGGCTTATGCGATCAAGAATCAAATATCGGCGGGCAGGTTGATCGTATTCCGTTTTAGGAAGGACGGCTTTACGATTCGGTCAATCGTAAAGCCTGATAGCCGACCCTATCCAGGTTCGACCTCTACGGAAAACCATTTCCAGCCGCCACGC